AGGAACTAACAGGCAGTAGAGAGAAAGCAGAACTGCTTAACTCATTCTTTGCATCTCTCTTCATACAAAAAGAAACTATAGTCCAACCTACCAAAAACATAACTGTAAAAGACAGACTAGAAATAAAAATTAAAATATGCAAGAAAATGGTAAGAACACCTGTCTGAACTTGATGAATATAAATCACCAAGACCTGATGGATTACATCCCAGAGTTCTGAAGGAGCTGGCAGATGTCATCTGAGAACCCATGTACCATGTCTTTAAAAAATAATGGAGCACCGGGGAACTACCAGAGGATTGGAAAAGAACTGATGTGGTTCCCATCTTCAAAAAAAAAAAAGAAAGAAAGAAAGAAAAAAATGGGGGGGGAACAGACCCAGGAAACTACAGAACAATCAGCCTAAATACCTGGGAAAATACTGGAAACAATAATTTAAAAACCAGATCTGTGAACATCTAGCAACACATATAAATATGTATACATCCGAACTAGACTGTTGTTTCTCTGTCATATATGTAGGTATATACATAATTTTGTATTTATTTATCTTGTCATGTTTATGTAGTGTAAAATCAGAGGCGGTAACCCTTTAAGAGCTTTATGCAACGAAATTGCATTTTTAATGTCTGCCAATTAGTGTACATTCAAAGTGACAATAAAGTTATTCTATTCTATTCTATTCTATTTCTCTTTCTGTTTCTGTTTCTATTCTATTATTCTGTTTCTGTTTCATTTTTGTTTCTGTTCTATTATTCTGTTTCTGTTTCTGTTCTATTCTAAATAAAAGTTATAGCTAGTAGCCAGCATGGTTTTGTTAAAAACAGATCATGCCAAACTAATCTTATTTCATTCTTTGAAATTGGTTGATGGGAGACCATCGTGGTCCACATATGTGCCCTGAATGAATCCAAGAAGTCAGCCTTGGTCAATGCCCCAAGTGTGGTTGGGTACTTGGATACTTCCCTTTCGGCTGGGCACCGATATGAGGAAAAGGAACGTTGTGGAGGTGGTAGCCAGAAGCAACTTCAGAAATCAAACCTTGAGCACCCTTCACCCTTCCTTGGGAATGAACAAAGGATGTGGCAGTTGCCAACAGTCGTCATGTGCCAAGATGGGGCGATTGCAATTTATATTATGGATTAGGCACCAATGGACTCCAGCTGGTCATCTTTGGGGAACCTCAGACCTCATTTAAAGGAACTGAGACACTGGAAGAATAGTTACCAGAGTAACCATTTGCATTTTTCTCCTAGGGAAATTATCCTCGAGTTGCAACCTACCATTGAGAAATGGAACTTCTATCACTAAGCGATGTGGTTGTTAAGTGAGTGACACCTGATTTTAGGAGCATTTTGCCGTTGTTAAACTAATCTGGGTTTCCCCGTTAAATTTGCTCATCGGAATCGCTCTGGGAAGGTGGCAAATGGCGATCACGTGATCCCGGGTTGTTGCAAAACCATTATAAATGCATGCTGGTTGGCGAAGGCCCGGATTTTGATCATGTGACCACGGGGACAAATGCGAGAAGTCATGATTCAAGGATCAGTCATTAATCACTTTTTCAGCCCCGCTGTAATTTTGAATGATTGCTGAACTGTTGGGTGCCATGGCTACACAGTCCGTAGAGATTCTCAGTCACCCAAGTCAGGAGGCAAGTGGGCTTCCTTGTTTTGAAGAAGTCTTCAAAAGAAAAGAAAAAAACAGAAAGTCCAGTTGCCTCCTGAAAAAGCACTTTTGGGACAACTCTGTCCTGGATGACTGAGAATCTCTACGGACTTTTAGCTACCCAATTTGGGATGAACATCCCTTGAATGGTGTGGGAGTAGGAATGGATTTCCAGAGGGGGAAAAAAATTGCAGACGACAGGAACCAGGTGTTAGCTTTGGAAGCCATATCAGCCCCGGAAGCTCCCACGCTGCCACCTTCTCGTGTGTGGGAAAGTAGGAGGGGGATTCGATAGAGGGTTTTGTTAGACATAATAGCATTCTTCCTTTCGGTCAAGGCCAGGACGATCCTGCATCTGGAGAAGGAGTGGTTGGAGTGCTGCCTCGAGATGGGACGGATGGTGATTGGAGCACGTGATGGACCGAGAATTGAGGGGAAGGTTTTGGGGGTTCTGATTTACTGAGGGAAAACCTGGAACTCTCAGATCCGGATTTTTCCCAGATGTGCCAGTATACCTACTCTAATAAATGGAACTTTTGAGAAAATGTTTGCCTCGGAGTTTTTGGAGTTGGGGTTTTCTGGAACGCCGACACCAGAAGCACCATTCAGGTGACCCTGAGGACACAAATGAACCTCCAAGTGCTTCAAGGACCCTCAAAAACAATGCAAATGACCAGCTACCTGCAAGGAATATAAATCCTCCTATTCCCCACCATCCAGTCAGAGTTGAAAAAGCTGCTGGGATGAGAAGCGAAACGTCTTCAAAGAAAGAACAGGAAAAGTTCGGTTGCCTCCTGAAAAAAAGCACCTTTGGGACATTGCTACAGATTCATTCAAGGAAATTACTTGACCAAGTGTGTCGATTCCCACCCAATGCCAGCAAGGAAGACTTTTAAGTGGTTAATTTGCTCCTTTCTATGGGCGTCAGTCTCAGGTGGGGGTTTATGCTTCGGGATTTGATCTGTACGTTGAGCAACAAATCTGACTTCCCAGATTTTTATCTTGACAACCTGATAAAAAGAGTCCCACAGAGCTAAAACCTTCCAATGATGGACAATCCTTTGACATCTTGAGAGGGTGAAAAAAGACAGAAACCAGGTGGTCAAAACCCTTGGTCTAAAAAGGATCACAGGTGGTCCTCGACTTATGACCACAATATAGAGCACAAAATGTGAGACGTGTGTTAAGTGAATTTTGGCCCATTTTATGACCTTTCTCTGCCACAGTTAAGTGTATCTGGTGTATCTTAAGTTGTTAAGTCAGTCACATGGTTGTTAAGTGAATCTGGCTTCCCCATCGACTTTGCTGGTCAGAAGTTCGCCAAAGGGGATGATCACATGATCCCCGGGACACTGCATCCGTCATAAACATGACTCAACTGTTGTTGAGGACTAGCAGTACAGACCTCCCAAGTATCATTTTGGCTATGGAGCCCAGCAACATCAATGGATTGTTTTGAAAGGGGCGTTTTGACTCCTATGGAGCAATTTTGGCAAGGTTGACTCCAGAGTATCTTGATTACAGGTCTCCTGCTTCCACACCCACAATTGCCCGGTCGTCCCATTACATCTTTTTCACCTGTGGCCCTCTTGTATCGGAAGTCCTCAACTTACAGCCATTCGCTTAGTGAGTGTTCAAAGTTACAACATTGAAAAACGTGGCTTATGTCCATTTTTTACACTTATGACCATCGCAGCTTCCCCTTTGGTCACGTGATCAAAATTCGGATGGTTGGCAACTGGCATGTATTTATGAGGGCAGAGAACACCATTCAGACCAAGTATTGGGTTTTTTTTTTTTGACAATAAATCTTTCTTTCATCTGAACGTGAGATGGTAAATGGTAAGAGAAGCAAAAAAGACATCGAGGAAGAAAATGGGAAGTGAAAAAAGCAAGCATCTACTTCAAGATCTCCAACCTAAATTGGAATGCTAAAGGACACCTGTGTATTAGTAACTAAATCCAAGATGATTAAAATTAAAACCAGAGTACAGGTAGTCTTGATTTATGACCATTATTGGGCCCAATGTTTGCATTGCGAAGTAAGGCATTAAGTGAATCATACCCCATTTTATGACTTTTGCCACAGATAAGTGAATTACAGTCGTTAAGTGAATTACTAGTTAAGCAAATCATGAAATGATAAGTGAATTATTGCAGTTGTTAAGTGAATCATGAAGTCTTTAAGTTAATTACTGAGGTTAAGTGAATCATGCAGTTGTGAAGTGAATCTGGCTTCCCCATTGATTTTGCTTATTGAAAGGTCGCAAAAAGGGGGATCCCACACTGTCATAAGTATGAACCGGTTGCCAAGCTTCTGAATTTGGATATGATCCTGGGGCTGCTACAAAGGTTGTAAGTATGGAAAATGGTCATAAGTCGCTTTTTTCAGTGCCGTTAACTTTGAATGGTCATTAAATGAACTGTTATAAGTTGAGGGCTATCCGTATTTCTCAATTGCAGGAACCTCTAGTACACTATTAGAAAATTAAATCATAACACAACTCTACAATACTCTTTACCAAGTCAGAAGGCTACAAGAGCCAACGAAATAAGACTGCTGTAAATGTACTCACCACACTATGCCAGCAAATCTGGAGGCCACCGACATTCCAATATTACAAAAAGGAGACTTCGTATATCATGTGTGTGTGTGTGTGTATATATTTCCAACTCCACCTGGAAATGCCCAAGCTGAAAAGTGTGACTTTCTGCAAACAAGGCCTCCTTTGAGGGCAAAGGCTTAGTTCAGCCCGCATGTAAAATCTGGTCCATAGAAACCCACTGGCTAGATTGGCTCAGGAAAAAAATTGGCATTGGCTTCGGATGGATTTTTAAGCAGTTTATTCTTTCCTTATTTCACGCCTGTCATTTCTTTGGCTTTTTCCTGCTTTCTGAATCTTGCATGATGTTGCAGAACACAAAAGTCAGTAGGATGCTGGGCTATGTATAGGTTATGTATTGCGAGTATACAAATTTGAAGATGTTGGCTTAATGTACAGGAGAATCTAAGCCAGTGATTCTCAACCTCGGCCACTTTAAGATGGGTGGGCTTCAACTCCCAGGATTCTCCAAGTCTGCCATTCAACTCCACCATTCACTCCCCATGCTGGCTGGGGAATTCTGGGAGTTGAAGTCCACCCATCTTAAAGTGGCCGAGGTTGAGAAACACTGCTCTAAGCTATAAACGATGGGTAAATGCCACACATTTTCAGCTGGCTTGGAGAAAAAAGTTCAAACAAACCTACTGGAGCTCAAATCCGTGAGCTTAAGATCGCCAAACCTCTGTGCCCACGGCACAGGACCAGGGCAAGAAGCCACAACGACAGGGCAAGCTTGAAAAACAAATTTTAATGTTACCCAAGAGACTTGATTCCGCCGTTTCTGATAGGCCCAAACTCACACTGCGAGAATCCGAGCCCTCGTAGCTTCCGACACGATGATTCTTCTCCCAAGGGCTTCTTCTTCTCACATCCTCAAGCATCAAGTCCCTCAAGTCAGCTGGAACAAGCAGGAGCTTCCATTTTTCACCCTTGTTTTTGGCAAAATAAAGCCCCCTTTTTGCAGCCTAAAGTGCTGATGTACCGGGGGTGGGGAGGATAAGGCTCGGTAGCTGTGGAGGACAGACCCGCTGGTGGTGGTGGTGGTGGGAATCCTTTAGGTGGTCCACCTTTAGGCGTTTTAGCCAGACCTTCCTCCTCAGAGGCGGAGATGCACGCAGGCAGCTCGGGCGAATTGATGTTATTAAATTGGGAATGGATCTGCCCACCACCAAAGTCCTCCTGCCTCCCTTCCAAGCCTCCTTCTCCATTTCACCCATGTCCATATGCCAGATTCCCTCCCTCCCTCCCTCCCTCTCCTCTTCCTCCTCCCTTCTGGCAGAGAAACAGTCTGTCACCTCCCTAAGCCAACATGCAGGCAACTGCCTATGTTGGGACCCCCCACTTCTGCCAGCCCGGAAATATTTAAAATAACGTTGTCTCACTGCCTAATCCTTTGGCCTGCCGGGTTTTGGTTAATTGTTGCATTCTTCGAAACCTGTCTCGGCTGCCTCAGTTCCCCAGAGCTGGCTAGAGATGGGGGAGTACTTACAAGCTGGGGGGTGCAAAGATTATAGCTTTTAATGGATCCCTGCCCCTTCAGTGATGTTCTCCCTTCATTTCGTCTTCTCTCTTCGTCTTTCTTCCCTTTTAAGATTTCAACCTCCCTATTCCGCCGTCAGCCGATCCGTTTTCCTCTCTTTTTTTCCCCAGCACCCTCTTCTTCTTCGTCTCCGTCTTCTCATCCGAGGGATGGGCACGTAAACCCGGAGCACTCCCCCCAAAATGGACCAACGTCCGCGTTTCATTTCTGCTGAGGCTCATCCGCTACGGTGGTTACCTCAATGGTCGTGTGCTCTTCTGTGGCCGAAGCACCTTCCATCACACTGGACGGCAAAGCCAGGATGGTGCTGCCCCCGGGAGACATCTGCGTCACGTTCTGGATGGCCGTGCCGAGCCCTGGCAGGGTGAGCAGCTGGAAAGGGCTCATCACTTTGACTACCGTACTGCTGTCCTGGATGGCCGCGGTGCTCAAGACGGTGAGGTTGGAGGTTTCGGGATGGATTTCCACCGCGTTGGGGAAGGCGGAACCCGCCGACGCCAAGATGGTGTATCCGCCCAGCAGCGGGGAGGCCGGCGAGCCAGCCGACGTCACCTGAGCGGTGGCCTTTCCCAGAGCAGATGCCGGGAGGGCAGAGAGCACTTTGCCGATGGGCAGACCGGCCAGCTGAGTGATCGGCACGCCTGGCGCCAGGGCGATCTGAGCCGACTGAGTCAGGACTTGGGAGGTGATGGCCGGGGGTCCTGAGGTGGCCCGGGTCAGCCTTGGCCGTTTCAGAGGAGAAGGGATGGAGACGGGCGTCAAGGTCATAAGCACGTTGTTGAGGTGCTGGGATTTGTGCTTCAGCTCCTTGGCTCTCTTGCGGTGCTCGTCACACTGCTGCTCCAGAGCTGGAGATGGGAAAAGGGAACCGGACAGGGAGAGAAGACGATTAAGGCCACGGGTGGCAGGCAGGATGCTGGCAAAGTCAAAAGGCTAAGCTAGACCGGATATGGCCTCCCCACCGCTTACACACTGCACAGCATCTTTAACAGATCAACAGAGTTGGAAGGGACCTTGTAGGTCATCTAGTCCAACCCCCCACCCAAGCAGGAGACCCTACACTATTTCTGACAAATGGCAGTCCAGCCTCTTCTTGAAAGCTTCCAGTGATGAAGCTCCCACAAGTTCTGAGGGAAAGCTGTTCCACGGGTTAACTGTTCTCACTGTCAGAAAATTCCTCCTTATTTCTAAGTTGGATCTCTCCTTGATCAGTTTCCATCCATTATTCCTTCTCTGGCCTTCGGGTGCTTTGGAAGTGCATCTAAGAGAGAAGGGGTTACTACAGGTAGTAGTACCTCAAGGGAGTCCAATATTTCTGTTGCTTAGCGAGGCAGTGAAGTGAATTTTGCCCCATTCTAGGACCTTCCTTGCCACGGCCGTTAAAGTGAATTGCTGCAGCAAGGCTTGCTTAATAACTGTCTTGCTTAGCAATGGAAATTTTGGGGCTCAGTTGAGGTCGTAAGTCGAGGATTACCTGTACCTTACCGGGTGGCAGAACAGAAGGAGAGAAATAGGACCGGGGAGACGGTACCTGCTAAGTCTCGTGTGTACTGCTTCCTGGAACGGTCCATTTGGCACTTGTGGCTGGCCAAAACTTTCTTCACCAGGTCCAGCATGCCAAAATTCTGGACTGTGTTGTTCAGCAGGATGGCATCTAATGGAAACACAGGATGAAGGAGCAAAACATCCTAATGGCTCTATCTTATTTGCAGTGAGGGAAGGGAAGGAAAATGTAGGCATTTTCATCTATATAGGCCCCAGGCCTCCAATTCCTCCTTCAAAAGGAAGCAAATGTACAGCAGCCTTAGTGCTTCGATTTTAAGCTTTCTTGAAGCGGAAAAGTGAAATAATGATTTTACTTTTCAGACTCTATAAAGCATCATATATATCAGTGATGGCTAACCTTTTTGCCGTCACGTGCCAAAAGCGGGAGGAGCACGGCGGGGTCGCGCACATGTGTGCCCACACCCATAATTCAATGCTCCCTGCCCCCGCGCACATGACCCCTCGGCGCTCCCCACACTTTTGGCATGTAATGGCCCAGTGGGCTCGGTAGGCCCATTTTTTGCCCTCCCCAGAGCCTTTCTTGGAGCCTGGGGAGGACAAAAACGGCCTTCCCCATGCCCCCGGAGGCTGGAAACAGCCTATTTCCCAACTTCCGGTGGGCCCAGAAGGCCTGAAAATCAGCTGGCTGGCACATGCATGCATGCTGGAGCTGAGCTAGGGCAACACTCGCGTGCCCACCGATATGGCTCCGTGTGGCACCTGTGGCACGCGTGCCATAAGTTCGCCATCACGGATATATATCAAAGATGGTGTATGTAGGCAATCATGATAATACAATTATTGTGTTTAATTATTTTTGTACAGGTAATCTGACTTACAACAGTTCATTTAGTGACCATGCGAAGTTACAACGGCGCTGAAAAAAGTGAGTTATGACCGTTTTTCACACTTACAACCACTGCAGCATCCCCATGGCCACATGATCACTATTCAGAAGCTTGGCAGTGGCAGTGTCCTGGGGTCATGTGATCCCCTTTTGAGGCCTTCTGACAAGCCAAGTCAATGGGGAAGCCAGATTCACTTAACCCAATTACTAGCTTAACAACTGTGGCGACTCACTTAACAACTATGGCAAGAAAGCTCATAAAATGGGGCAAACCCCACTTAACAAACCTAATCTGGCTTCCCCCACTGACTTTGCTTGTCGAAAGCCGGCTGGGAAGGTGACAAGATGGGGGTCATGTGACCCTGGGACACTGCAATCGTCACAAACATGTGCCAGTTGCCGAACGCCCAAATTTTGATCACGGGACGACAGGGGATACCGCAATGATCATAAGTGTCAAAATCGGTAACTGTGAGAACTGGCCATAAGTCCCTTTTTCAGTGTCGCTGTAGGTTCAAACAGTTACTAAACAAATGGTCATAAGCCGAGGACTATCTGTAAATAAACTGTGAAATAATTTCTTTGCAAGGTAATAAGCATTGCAATATCCGGTTCTCACCGTTCAGCTGTAAAGGGAGTTCCTGGATCCTTTGCTGCAGGCCCTTCATGGCTTCCATGAATTCCACACTGAATTCCTGAACCACTTCCTCCAGCAACCCGGCGTCTCTCAGGCCTCGCCAGAAGGTGAAGGCGTCATCTGAAGTCGAAAAAGAGAGACGTCTTCACAACCCAAAAGTGATTTTTTTCCCCCAAAAGGCAACTGGACTTTCCTTGCTTTTCCTTCGCTTCGCTTCTCATCCAAAAAGGTTTTCCTTTGGTTCTGGCTGAATGGTGGGGAATGGAAGGATTTACAGGTAATGCTCCAGTTACGAATGTATCGGAGCCTGCCAATTCCATTCGTAACTCGAGGATTCCTAGGAGTGAATCATGTAACTTCAATGTAATCACTCCCCGCTTTTGCCCATGCATGTGCTAATCAAATGTGCCAATTGTTAAGTGCACAAGGTATCTCAGGGTCAGGAAGGCTAGTGATGGAACAGGCCATCCAAGGCCTCCCCGAGCCACTGAGATATTTCATGCTCCCCACCTCCCATCCTGCTGTGCCGGACTCACTTACCTTGCAAAGACCTGTCTCCTCTGTGCCGGACGATTTTGATCCCAGCATCCGGTCGTCTTGCAAATGCTTTTCACACCGAGAGTGAAATGTTTGGGTGTGTGTATGTGTGATCTTGCGCCACTTCAGGCATCCATTCGCTTTTGCAGAGAATGAGTTCCTGAAATCGTGCAAGATCACGGCCCCCAGAATCTTTCACTCTTGGTGCGAAAAGCAGTTGCAAGCCAATCAGATGCTGGGAGGGAAATCGTCCTGCTCTCCTCTCCCTCAAAGGCAAAGAAAGCCTGGCAGAGAGAAGACAGATCTTTGCAAGGGAAGTGAGTCGGGCACGGGGGATGGGAAGGGGGAAGCGGTTATGGGGAGCGGAGGGGGAAATAGGGTGAATGTTCCAGTGCCACTGCGGTCATTCGTAAGGGCGAACGACCGCCATGGTGCTGCAACATTTGTAATTTCGGGACTTTGTCATAAACACTTGGGGTTATCGTGTAACTTTGAATGGTCACTAAGTGAACGGTCGTAACTCAAGGGTTACCTGTATATTCCTTGCAATCATCAGGTCGTTAGCATTCTGAAGGCCAGTGCTTAGCTCTTTTCTTTTGAAGACTGCAAAATCCACATTCTGGACAGAGAGGCCACTGGTCTGAAAGAGGGGTCAAAGAGTCCATCTGTATTAAAATTGGACAGCCCTCCCTCAACAGGGGAGGACGGATAAGATCCCACCTAGCTCCGGTTTACGACAGTCTTTTCAGCAATTCCACGAAGGTTCCACGTCCATCTGCACTATTCAGGTGACTCTGAGGCCATAGATAAACCTCCAAGTAATCTCAAGAATTCTCAGAGAGAGTACTAACGACCAAAGCACTGCAAGGAATATAAATCCTTCCATCCTCCACCATTCAGTCAGAACTGAAGAAGCTTCTCGGATGAGAAGTAAAACGTCTTCCAGGAAAAACAAAGAAAGTACAGTTGCTTCTTGAAATAGCAACGTTGGGACAACCATGACCTAGATGACTGACAATCTCCATAGACGCATTGACAACAAGGCAGGTAGCTGAGGGAACCTGAATAGTTGCCTCCTCATTACACCCCATAATCATATTCCAGAGATGGTACATTCCAGTTGTAAGTCATGACAGTCATTAAGTGGTTCCCTCTGTGACTATGTCCTATTTTACCAACTTTTTTACCACTTAACATCGGCGTTACTAACTTAGCAACTGCAGTGAGTCATTCACCAACTGCGGCAGGAAAGGTTGTAAAATGGGGCAAAATTCACTTAACAACTGTCGTGCTTAGCAATGGAAGATTTGGGCTCAATTGTGGTCGTAAGTCAAGGACTATGGTACCTGTATCTAATCTTTTGCCAATGTAGTTAGTTTTTATATTCATAATTGTTTTTATATTCTTGTTTTTAACTCTATTGCAAACCACCCAGAGTTGCCTTGGACAGCGAGATGGGTGGCACATATATTTAATAAATTAATAAAACATGAGTACATCCTGTGAGACCTGACTTTTAAGACAGGGTGGTGGGAGAGTGAAAGAATGGCAAGATGACATCACCTAAACCAGGGGTCTCCAACCTTGGCAACCTTAAGCCTGGAGGACTTCAACTCCCAGAATTCCCCAGCCAGCAAAGCTGGGAGTTGAAGTCCTCCAGGCTTAAAGTTGCCAAGGTTGGAGACCCCTTACCTAAACCACCGATCTCCCCCCACCTCAGCATCTCTTCAGTACTCGGAGGAGTCTTTTTCCATTCCACTTAAACATGCCAAAAATTTGACCTCCAAACTTGCTGCAAGAGCTCTTCTCTTGCTCTGTGGCCCTGCATACAGAAAGATGACACATCTGATTTTTTTCCTCTTCACAGCCTTTCAGGTTTTGCACTGAACATCCTGTGGGAGGGTCTACGAGCTTCACCTCCAATAGCCGTGGTCCACTCAGTGGTATCCTCGCAGGTTTCTATGGTGATGGTGGCAGGAGATCCGTTGACTGCAATTAAAACCGAGCAACAATGATCATTTGACCCTTGAACTCTCTTACTCTGATTAAAAAAAAAACTTTTTTCTATACATTGGATGGTTATAGCCAGAAAAAAAAAAATCAGAAAGCCCTTTTCTCCATTAAACATTTCTAAAAGCAGGACTAAAATGCTCAAAGATTTTATTTATTATTTATTTTATTATTTATTTTGTCGCATTTCTATGCCGCCCAACTCCCAAGGGACTCTGGGCGGCTTACAACAAAGAATAAAACAATGCGAACAATCCCATAAAAATGTTAAAAAGAAAAACATTGAAACATTAAAACCTTTAAAAACGTTAAAACACATGCACTCCCAATTCGTGGCTGGGTCTCGCAAGATCATTATAACGAGATCAACAGCCCCAGGCCTGCCGGAAGAGCCAAGTCTTCACCGCTTTGCGGAAGGCCAATAGGGTGGGGGTGGTCCGGACCTCAGGAGGTAACTGGTTCCAGAGAGCCGGGGCAGCCACAGAGAAGGCCCTCCCCCGCGGGCCCGCCAGCCAGCATTGTTTAGCTGACGGGACCCGGAGACGACCAACTCTGTGGGATCTTACCGGTCGCTGGGAGCTTTTGAGGCCATGTTTGTTTTAATTAAGCCGTGAAAATTTTGAAAATAATTTGGAAAAATCCCATTGGACCTCATGTGAAAGTACTACCTTTCTGTTGCTATTAAAAGTAAGTGCTTTTTTTTTTAAGGCTTCCATGACCCTGAAAAGTAAGACACCACCTTAAAAATCAAATTAGCTTTCATAAGTGAACTTATAGCTGTGTGACCTCTTTTTACAGGCTAATGTGAATGTCAGAGGGGGGAGGCAGGGAATGTTGCGGGTCCCATCCCCGAAGGAGATACACCTGGTGGGACCCAGAAGGGGCCTTCTCCATGGTGGCTCCCTCTCTCTGGAACATCATTCGCCCAGATTTTAGAATGGTCCCCACTCTAGCACTCTTCCGGAAGGCGTTGAAGACCTGGTTCTGCCAGCGGGAATGGGGAATCCAGAGCGGGATGGAGCCCATTAAATGGCTCGTGTGATCAGCTGTCGCTGGGCAGGGGGTGGGAGGCAGTTTTGTTATATTGTACTATATTAATTTGATTCTTTTTGTTAGTTTTTATTGTTTTAAATGTGGTCTTTTATTCTGTAAGCCACCTTGAGTCGCCATGGCAAATAGGTGGCAATATAAATTCAACAAATAAATAAATAATGTAAAAGAGTGACAGATGTTGAGCTGCTTTAATCAATATTAGCCAGAGGCTCTTCCTATATAGAAGGTCCAAAAAATTTTCTCCAAAGCATTTTCAGTGATTGCTCAGGTGTATTACTTCACGCTAACCTGGAATGTTAAGTTGTGATTTATTACAAGGTGATTACAACGCATTGCCCACTCCACAGTTAGCCTGAAAATACTGACTAGACGCATGGAAACCTTGCTGCCTTTGAAACTTTCATCTTTCAGAAACTGTAAATAATTCAGACAAGAAACCTTAAAGGAAAATAGGACATATTTTGACATATTGCTGCATGACATATTTAGCCTACCATCAATGGCTGGATTTGGAAGAGAGCACAAAACTGTCAAGCAGCAAGATAAAAAGTAGCCAAAATTAAAACTTATAGAAAGAGAACAAAGCCTTTTGAGGTTTCTTGTCTCACACGTATAATGAATCAAAAATCTGTTAAGAGGCTCTGGAGCTATCAGCGCACTTCTGCTTCTCTTTCACCTCCCATGAATTCACCTAAAGCCACAGCACGTTTAAAATGCCCACAAACACAGCTGAGGGAGGGAACTGGTTAAATCAAGAGTATCTGAATGCACCAGCAGGCAGTGCTTTAGAAGGGGTTGAAAAGGGTTCAGACCAGCGTTTTCTCAACCTTGAGGACCTGAAAATGTGTGGACTTCAATTCTGGGAGTTGAAGTGCTCACATCTTCAAGTTGCCAAGCTTCTGGTTCAGACAGATGGGATTGCTGAATGACCAGCAAGTCCTCCAAACTGCAGCAGGCAGATAGATCTGGCCGCCATTTCTGATGTTAATTGTTGAATATCTGTAGAAGTTTGAAGCACTTCAGGGAGAAAAAGAACTCAGTGGTTTTTTTCAAGAAACAGTGAAAGCAGTGGTGGGATTCAAATAATTTAACAACCGGTTTGCCCAGGGTCAGGTTGGCTGTTGTGGGAGACATGGCCCAACCTGACCCTGGGCGAACCGGTTGTTAAATTACACCCCCCTGCTATCAAAGTGGATCCTGGCAGCTGTGCTGCAATGGAGAAACGGGCAACGGATCAGCCGGCACGAGGGAAGGAGGAGCAGGGAGAAGAAAGAGGGAAAGCAGCCTTCTGCTTCCCTCATGCCGGCCGCTCTGTTGCCCGCTTCTCCATTGCAGCCACTGCGCGGTGCCCAGGTTCCACTTTGATAGCGGGGTGATGGGGGTGGGGGTAATTTAACAACCGGTTCACCTGAACCGGTGCGAACCGGCTGAATCCCACCACTGGATGAATGGCTGGTGAAAATTAAAACTGCCCTTGCAGTGTCTCAACTACAGTCTGTTCTTGGGTTTTGCTTCTCTACATACCGTCTGCAGAGGCTGGAGTGAGAGGCGTATACTCTGCTGAAGTCTGGCTGCTGAGAGAGACTCTGGCTCCGGTCAGATCGATTTTAGTGCTGCGGCACGTATTCGAGCAAACTTTTGTGTGCTCGTAGAAATCCAGCTTGCCTGAATCCATGATTTTCCTAAAACGATAGAAGAGAGTATGTGTAGCTCAGGGTTGGACTGTGGGGCACTTGGTGTTCTCTGAGCTTGGTAGTTTTCTCGTAGACATTTCTTTACCCAACTAGAGAGTGGTACGGTGGCCTAGAGATGAGAGCTCTCGCCTCACAATCCGGAGGCTGTTTGATCCTAGGTAGAGGCAGATATTTCTTTCTCTGGGCACAATGAGAATATGTCTGCTGAACAAAATTCCACATTGGCGACAGGAAGGGCATCCAGCCAGTAAATACTCTGCTAGCTCCGTTCAGTTGCCCAGACTCTACCCTGCAAGGGACTATGGGGTTGTTAAAAGAAGATGATGATTTCTTTAAACAACCAGGTAACATCATCGGGGCTAGAAGGGAGTGGAGTGTCAATGGTCCGACTAGCGAACCCAAGAAAAGTAGACACTCCCGGGAATTTTGTAATCCCAAAAGCAAAACTTTATTGGATACACCATTTCGGCACTGAAGAAATAAAACCAGCTCTGAAGTTTTCGTATGCAATGCTACATAGTTAAACATTGGTCTTCCCTTTGTCCCACCCATAGTGGTCACGCTGTCCAATTATGAATCGGTCTTTTGTTTTGAGAACAGTTCGTTTCTTTGTCGGACACCTGCAGTAGTGACCTTGGTGGGTTCTTGGCTCACAGGGTCTATTCTTGGATTGTCTGTATTCCTTCTCACCTGTCCTCCCTTTCCAGTTCTTTGGCAAATTGAATAGCAGTAAGTTTTCAAATGGTTCAGAAGCGGTTCAAAGTTAACATGGAGTTTGCAATAAGTAGTGATTTACCTTAGCATGATCCCGTTCATCCGGATTGCCCTCTTCCAGTCCTTCAGGGTGGACTTGCCAGCCAAATGCACAAATTCCTTAGGACTTATCAAATGATTGTCATACTGCAAGGAGGAGAGAGAGATAAGATGTAACACGAAGAGGGTAGGCAATAAAGCAATGGCAGGCAGAGATGGCCTTGGGAGACGGGCAGGAGAGCCGCAGGGTAGTCAACAATCAGGTAAGAGTCAGCTGAGCCCACAGAAGGAGTGAAGGCCTGGCAACCATCTCAGAGGAGACCCTCCTTAGTTTCTTGGGATGTAAAGCTGAGGGGGAAGAGATGTACTTTCAGACCTGTGAGATTCTGCTCATGTAACTTTACAATAAAGTAGAATTAGTTCATCTGAGTGTGCTTCCTGCCTAGACTATCTCAAAAGGATGTCACGTATTGGGAGGGAGACCCATTTCCTCCCTGTGTGGCTTTCACAGACTCTGCTGGAATAGCAATAGCACTTAGACTTATATACCGCTTCACAGTGCTTTACAACCCTCTCTAAGCGGTTTACGGAATTAGCATATCCCTCCCCCCCCGCCCAAACAATCTGGGTCCTCATTTTACCGACTTTGGAAGGATGGAAGGCTGAATCAACCTTGAGCCTGGTGAGATTCAAACTGCCAAATTGCAGGCAGCCGGCAGTCAGCAGAATTAGCCTGCAGTACTACACTCTAACTACTGCACCACCACGGCTGATAACATGCTACAGTCCCAATGTGGGAAGCATATTTTATGGGACAGATTATGAAGATCATACTGGGAGAGCAGAGTTAACAGAAAGGCTCAAGGCTGCATCACACAGACACAGGGAGAGTATAGACTGAATAGGGCAAAGAGCACTGCTTCTGATTGGCTCTACCCTAAACTCCCACCCTTGCCCTCCAGATCTGGCACTCAGTGTCTGATAGACTGGGATGCCAGATCTGGTTCAGAATTTGAACTTCAGTCCATGAATAACAGAACAAGAGAGTTCGAAGGGACCTTGGAGGTCTTCTAGTCCAACCCTCTGCTCAAGCAGGAGACTCTACACCCATGATGGCGAACCTATGGCACGTGTGCCAGAGGTGGCATGTGTGCCAGAGGTGGCACACAGAGCCCTCTCTGCTGGCACGTGCACCGTTGCCCCAGGTCAGATCTCTGTGGCCTTTCTTTCGTGAGCTTCTGTTTCCCTGCAAACAATGAAACAAAAGCTCACAAAAGAAAAAGATCTTACCTCTTGCCACACTGCTGTTGTTGGGATGCCCCACCTCCCACCAGCCAGTTGGTCTTCGGGTCTCTGCTGTGCATGCACACATGTCCTTGCATACACATGCGCGCATCCGCGTGCGGACAACTTTTAGTTTTGGCATGCGCGTACAGGCAGTTTGGGCACTCGGTGGATAAAAGGTTCACCATCACTGCTCTACACCATTTCAGAGAAGTGATTGTCCAATCCCACAATGTCTGAAGGTGGACTGCATGAAGACACACAGCCCTGTCTTGTTTTCTATGCTTTTAAGAACAATCTTGAAAAGGTAGATATGCTGGAGGTTGTTACTGGACTAGGATGAAGATCCCTCCCCCCCACTCCACTGTATTCCAGTTGATTTAAATATTTGATGTTTCATACTTCTGCTTTTACGATGTTGTAACCCGCCCAGAGTCATTTGAGATGGGCAGCATGTATATTTAACAATAATAATGGGAGTTTAGAATGCAAACAGACAAGCCACTTGTCACAAAACACCCCAGACTTAACAATTGCTGATAAGAAAGACAAAAAAGTTTGTACTGTATAGTGGAAGTGGTAGAAATAAAAGACAAAGAATTGGAGAAAATCACAATACAAAGACTTGCAAATACAAGAAAAATGACTGGGGGAAAAGAAAGGAACAATCCTACCAATAATGGTAGCTGCCTTGGGCTCAATCCAAAAAATCTGGAGCACCACTTAAACAAATTTGGCTTCTCCAATTTAAAACAAGGGGTTTTAAATTGGAGAAGCCAAAGATAATTTAATTTTGTTTTAATGTATTTTAATATTTGTATTGTGTGTTTTTAATTTTGGCTGTTCACCGCCCCGAGTCCTTCGGGAGAGGGGGCGGTACAAAAATTTAATAAATAAAATAAATAAATAAATAAAAATCATTGGCATTGGCATTGACAAAATCCCCATCAATCACTTGCAAAAGGCAGCTTTAGTTGGAAACAGCTTACAGCCTGCAATGACGATTTAACTTTAACACCATCAAACATCCACGTCTGCCTATTCCAGGTATTTGGGAAGGAATCAAAGATAGACAAAAATCCAGTCTGAACATCTGGCTGACTGTCTGATCTGATCATCTGATGAATCATTATAATAATCTCACCTGCACGCACTTCACATTGATGCCCGGGCAAACAAACTTCCGCCATATGAGATTCGCTTTGCTGTCACCGCAGGTGATGGGATAAGCCACCTCAGCTTCCAGGCACTCCTCTCCTTCTGCCATCTTCACTTCAAGGTGAGGAATCAAAAAGGGTGTTTTAATTAGAAAAAGATTACACAGCCACGAATGACTAATGGCGGTTTCCCCCCCCCCCATTTTATTAAATTTGTATACCGCCCTACTCCCGAAGGACTCAGGGCGGTGAACAGCCATAATAAAACATATAAATACAAAATTTAAAATAGAGATAAAACAAATTAAATAAATTTGGCTGAACCATTTTAAAACCCCAATAATTTAAAACCAAATTTAAAATTCCCATTTAAAAGAGGAAAAGTGGCGGTGATGATGGTTTAAAGGCTGAAAAAGTATTACCCATATTATCAAATCCTTCCCCCAGCTATGAAATTCTGTTCATAGCAATGGGGCCTGTCGCAGAAATAACGGTACACCTGGTCCTTTCAAACCATGATTTGTTGTTGAAGAAACTGGAATAGCTAGGTTTGGATATCGCCCTAAATGAAAGTCAAATAAAACGCACTCTCACTGCTGTCTCTCCATCAGAATGACTTTGAGAATAGAGAGGGAAGGATTTTAGTTTGTTAAGTTTTAAGTTTTTGTCTTTTTACTTTACAGGTAGAAAGCAAGACAGAAGGGAAACACGCAAACAAAAGGAACAAATAGTTTCAGCCGTTTCTCAACATCCTGTTGTTGGCATTTTAGAGCTGTTAGTGGGTTGCCCCAAGACAGGCTGAGGAAGTTCAAATGTGAGCCAAAAACTTAGTGGGGGTCTTTGGGCTGTTGTGGGGATAAAATCTGGGAAATACAGGTAGTCCTTGACTTACAATCATTTTTACTGACAATTTGTAGTTACTGAAAAAAGTGACTTATGACCGTTTTTCACATTTATGACCGTTGCAAAGTCCCTATAATCATGTGATCAAAATTCCGAATTGGCTCATATTTATGACGGTTGCGGTGTCCCTGGGGTCACACGATCCCCTTTTGTTACCTTCTGACAAGCCAAGTCAATGGGGAAGCCGGATTCACTTAACAAACATGATTCCCTTGTGGCAAAAAAGGTTGTAAAATGGGGCAAAGCTCACTCAATAACTGCCTTGTTTAGCAACCTAATTTTTGGGCTCAATTGTGGTCATAAGTCAAGGATTAGCTGTACTGCCATGCCTTGAGCTCTCTGAGAAAGGATGGGATATATACGATGACAATAGAAATATAAACAAATTAAGATGTAACTCGGCAACCAGAGCAACTGTCAGACTCCAAAAATCAAGAAAGACTTGTGGCAATTCTTCCAAACGGAGTTCTTTATTGCTTTACACCTACAGAGAGAACCTTACCAAACTGAAGCTGACTGCTACCTACATGAAGCATGGACTTTGGGAGCTATTAGGAAGGAGCCGTCACACAAATGATCTGAACTGAGTTGTGTGTCAGGGTTGCAAGTAACACCCGCAACAGAAGTAAGACTCCAAGGCAGGCCTTCTCCTCAAAGTTCTGTTTTATTAGAGATGTCATACTGGCACATCTGGAAAAACCCGAATCTGAAAGGCCTCTGGGTGTTCCCCACCCAAATCAAAATCGAAGTCCCTTCCCCTGCACCCACATGTCCATCACATGGTCCAATCACGTCCCCGTCCCAACTGGAGCTGCTCCCCAGTCACGCCTCTCCAGGTGCAGGCTGAACGTCCTTGACTTCCAGGGAAAAGAATGTTATTATGGTTACACATCTCACCCTGTCTCCGTCCACCCCCTCCCCCTCCCGTTTCCCACAGCATGCCCATCCACCAAGTGTGGCAGCCCTGAAGATCCAAAGTAAAAGATGGCCTCCAGGACTGACACGGTGTTTTGTGGACGGAAAGAGAAATGGATGGAGGGGAGGGAGGGCGGGAGTAGACAGAAAGAGAGATGGATGGAAGGAGTGATGGGAAGAAGGAAGGAATAGATGGAAAGATAGATGGAGTGGACAGAAAGAGACACGAATGGAAGGAGTGATGGGAAGAAGGAAGGAAGGAGTGGTTGGAAAGATGGAGGGAGGGTGGGAGGGAAGGAGGGAGTGGACAGAAAGAGATGGATGGAAGGAGTGATGGGAAGAAGGAAGGAAAGGAAGGAGAGATGGGAGGAAGGAAGTGGAGACGGAAAGGGAGGGAGGGAAGGAAGGAGAGATAGGAGGAATAAAGGGAAGGAGAGAAGGAAGAAGGAAGGGAAGGCGGAACAAAGGATAGATGGAAGGAGTAATGGGAGGGAGGGAGGGAGGGATACAGGAAGAGAGGGGGAGGCATGCTAACGCCCATCTGAACTGAACTGTCTTATAGCTCTTAGGTGCCCAGTGCCAATGTTCTCTGCTCCTGGGCTCTTCTCAAACGTGCTGAAACCACCAGGGGCCATGGCCACTCTCACCTTCTAACCAGGACCTTCCCCCTCCCAGCTAGTCTGCGGGAGACCAATGTCCTGATTCCCCACCCTTACCTAAAAGGGCTTCCTTCAGGTGGGCAGAGGCGGTGAAAGCTGCGGCAGCTGCAGCAGCTGCATTCTCGGTCTCCAGGGTGTCTTCGTTGAGGTCACTGCTGGTCAGAGAGGAAGGGACAGACGGTGAGTGACAAGGCTCCTTTTATCCATTTTCCTCTAGAAAGTTGACCTGGCTTCTCCATGTTGGCTTTCTTTTCGTAAAATAAATGACGTGTGATATGTCCTGTGTTGTTGTTCATCCGAGGTTGTGTTTGCCTACTTGTAAGAACTGCTAAGACCAGATGATTTTTTTTACTACGCCCCGATATGTTAAACCCCAGAGAGAATGTGCAGGTAGTCCTCGACTTACAACAGTCCATTTAGCAACCGTTCAAAGTTACAACGGCACCGAAAAAAAGGGACTTTTTCACACTTACGACCGTTGCAGCATCCCCGTGGTCACGTGATCAAAATTCAGGCAGTTGGCAATGGGTTCATATTTATGACTGTTGCAGTGCCTCAAGGTCACGTGATCCCCTTTTGCGACCTCCCGACAAGCAAAGCCAATGGGAAAGCCAGACTCACTTAACAACCATGGTTAATAACTTATCAAATGCAATGATTCACTTAACAACTGTGGCAAGAAAAGTCGTAAGGTGGGACAAACTCACCTAACAAAATGTTTCCCTTAGCAACAGAAATATGGGGCTCAGTTGTGGCCGTCACTCAAGGACTACCTGTATTTTCTTTTTCACATGACTGTGAATGACCAATAATTTAACGCTGAAAACAGCTATTTATGACCAATCGTATTTACAACTGTTGCAGCAGCATTCCCACTCATCAGTTCAGTTTAGGATTGCATTGGTTTCTTGGCTGCTGCTACACACTGTAAGTGATTGTCCACTTGAACTCCAGAATCCCTCTCAGAGTTAGGGGCATTAAACCACCTTTCACCTAGTCTATACCTATACATTTGGTTTTTCTTGCCTAAGTATAAAACCTTACTTTTATCTACGCTGAATTTCATTTTCTTAGATAGGGCCCGGAGTTCAAGTCTTGTCAAGATCTTTTTGGATCTTGAGCTTGTCTTTGGCATATCTTTTTGTGTTTCTTCCTGTTAAAAAGCAAAGAGCCCCTGTCCATTATCAGGTATACATAAACATCCGATATGTAGGAGACTCAAAGCTCCTGGCCGCTAAAAAAAAGAGTGGATAGATAGAACAGGAAGCTGCGTCTTTTCATCACCTGGCTGCCTAAAGACAAAAAGCTGACATTAAGCACAGAGGCACCATCTTCCTCTCAGCATCTGCCAACTGCAGATTACAGCACAATCGTCCCATATGCGACGCTCGCTTGCTCTGTCTGCCAAAGCCACCATCCGTTTCATTGCCAGTATGATGTTTCAGATTTATGACAAGGGCACAGCGGTGCACTCTGGCTGCAAACCAAGTCTCAGGAATATCCATTCTCCCTCACCTACTGGTCCAAACAGGTCTCTGAACTTGCAAGAGGAAAGGCCCGGCACTTCCCCAAGATTTTAAGATGCTGCTAGTTCAGATTAAAGCCGAATGTTTCTTTTAGGCTTTCTGGCAGGCCATTATGTAGGGAACCACCTCAGAAATAAAGACTTGAAGGTAATTGTAATGTTTGGGATGCTTTATGAAGTGTGTACATTGAAGGCTGCCTGGAATCCACCTGGTCTGCCTGACTGCTCTTTTCCCCCCTCCATCTGGCAGGCTTATATGAAGTCAGCTGCAATTTTCAGCAGGTGCCACAAACTTTGCAACTTCTTTTTAAAAGAGATTAAGTTCCAAAGGTGTATCTTTTTTTTTTTGTAAAGGCTATTTTATTTTTACGTATTCGTATCCTCCCTTTATTTTTTACAAATAATTCAAGGCGGGGAATATACATTATCCAACATACCTTCCTGCTCCTATTTTTACCACATCAACCCTGTGAGGTGGATTGATCTGAAAGTGACTGCCCAAGGTCACCCAGTCGGTTTTTATGTCCAAGGCAGGACTAGAATTCACCATCTCCTGGTAATTGAGCCAAAGTCATACAAGTGGCCTTCATGCCTAAGGCAGGACTAGAACTCCATCTCCCACTTTCTAGCCTGGGGCCTTAACAACTAGACCAAACTGGATTTATAAAGCCGGCCTGTTACGATTTTCAGCAAAGATTTGAAATCTTAACACCCCTGGTGTCTTATATTAGGTTTAGTTTACAGAAGAAAATCAGGATAAAAGTGTTTAAACAAAGAGACCTGTTATACACAGGAGGCCAATCTTATCTATTGATAAACCCTACAGATTAGCTCTGCATCTGATTTTTTTAGTGCCCAGAAATATGGAATGCATAAAGAACCATCAAGTGGAAGCAAAAAATCTGGATGGATCTATTTCTTTCCCATCTTTGTTTCATGAGAGACGATCGCAACACTTCTGTTTTTCTATGAAAAAGCCTCTTCAGCTTGGGAAACCAGAGAGAGGCTCATTACTCAGAGAAACCCACCTAATCCTATTGAATTCCTTTTGGTGTGGGCTGTTTCTATGACAAAATTTTCTGCCAGGAAGTCACACTCAGAGAAGAAAATACTGACAAAACCGCTTCGCTCCCCAAAACTGTTTTTAATCCATCACTGAGGAAAATTGTTGCCAATCCAAATCTGAGAAATTACATTGAAGGAATTGAAGCAACAAATTCTCGATTTACGACCACAATTGAGCCCAAAATGTATGTTAAGTGAAACATTTGTCAAGTGAATTTTGCCCCATTTTATGACCTTTCTTGCCTCGGTTGTTAAATGAATCACTGCGGTTGATAGTCTGTAGAGATTCTGTCATCCAGATCAGGTGCTTTTTCAGGAGGCAACTGGATTTTCTTGTTTTTTCTTTGAAGACGTTTCGCTTCTCATCCAAGAAGCTTCTTCAGCTCTGACGGGATAGTGGGGAATGGAAGGATTTATACTCCTTGCAGATAACTGGTCATTTGCATCCTTTTAGAGGGTCGTTGAAGCACTTGGGAGGTTTATCTGTGTCCTCAGGGTCACCTGAGTGGTGCTCCTGGTTCCTGTAGTCTGCAATTTTTTTCTCTGGAAATCCAATTCTACTCCCACACCATTCAAAGGGATTCAAGGCAGGATTAGAACTCACCATCTCCTGGCAATTGACTCAAAGTCACCCAACCAGCTTTCATGCCTAAGTCAGGACTAAAACTCACCGTCTCCTGGTGACTGGTCCAAAGTCCAAAGTCAGCCAGATGGATTTCTTGATTAAGGTGAGCCTAGAACGCACCACCTCTTGGTTGACTGGCCAAGTCTTCCAGCTGCTTTCATGCTTAAGGCAGGACTAGAACTCACTAGAACTTGCTTCTAACCTGATGTTTTATCTACTACCCCAAACTGGATCTCAACAATCAAGGAGACGGATGCTAAATGATGACTCGCCTCAGGTGTCAAATATTCTAGGTACACCGCTAAAGTAGCTCCAATTGTGAATCTATCCATCCTACCAGCTAAATATTTCATCTTTTGACTCACCCATGCTGGGACAGATTGGTGGTAACTAGGACAGTCTTCACTTCCTCCACACCACTGCCATCAACCACATTATCTGGAGTTGTTACTACGACAACTTCCTCCATATGCATGCTCATATCTTGCGCCGCCATCATTAAGGAGCCTTTATCCTATAGAAGGAAAAAAGAGCGAAGGAGTTACCACTCTACTCATCTACTCTGAACACATTTCATCATTTTTAATCAGAATCAAAATCATCTTCCAGAGTAGTACAGGTAGTCCTCAACTTACAACCACAATTGAGCCCAATGTTTTTGTTGCTCAGTGAAACATTTGTTAAGTGAATTTTGCCCCATTTTACCACCTTTTGTGCCACAGTTGTTAAGTGAATCACTGTCAAGTTAGTAAAATGGTTGTTAAGTGATTCTCGCTTCCCCATTGACTTTGCTTGTTGGAAGGTCGCAAAAGTGGATCTCTTGATCCTGGAACATGGCAACCGTCATAAATATGAGTCAGTTGCCAAGCATCTGAGTTTTGATTACGTGACTGTGGGGATGCTGCAATGGTCGTGTGAAAAACGGCCCTAAGTCACTTTTTTCAGTGCTGTTGTAACTTTGAACGGTCACTAAATCAATTGTTGTAAGTTGAGGACTACCTTTATGTGGACTACTGTTGGGTGCTCATAGCTCTGTTCCTCCAGTTTTAGCCGATGATTTTTTGCAGTCTGCAAATCAGGATTTTATGTCTGCATACTACGTTATCAAAGCTATTTCGGGTTAATTAAAGAAATCGCAGTGAAACAAACCATGGCTAGCACTAATACAGGAAATCAAATCAGGCAAATTAGCAAAACATTAAAAAACGCTAGACCTGATCAGTTGGGGTGAACTGATTCTTCAGAGAATCGTTAAGCAGGTATAACATCCCAGCAAATGCATGTGGAGAAGGAAATGGTTTTTCTTCCAAGGACTGCAGGCATCTCAGCTAAACTGCCACTTCATTTCCTTACAGTCTTATCTGAAAATCCTTCACAGGTAATTTCACAGGAAAAGGACAGTAAGTGGATTTACACATTTTACTAAGCCGTAAGAATATTGGCATGGCTGGATTTTACTGCAATGTGTTCAACCCAGCCCCAAGGCACCTGAGAAATATTCTTGCAGCACCAAGACAAGAAAGCATCTAATACCGTTTCCCCAAAAATAAGCCGTTTTTACACATGCACCTAATATAAGCCCTACCCCCCAAATAAGCCCTACTTAAGCGCCTGCATAGCTGACCACCCGCCCATTCCGTCTGGTTGCTCAGGGTGCCACTGACACGAGGTGAGGTGAGACAGGGCGTGTCTGGAGCTGCCCCATACTGACTTACCTCAGGGCTCTCACAGCCAGGCCATCCATGCCATCTCATGGCGGAAGCACCAGCAACCATGTGCAGCAGGAGCCCATGTGGCCGCCAGCCCACTTCTTCTGCTTGCTCACAGCCACAACGGAGGCCATGCAACACGCCAGTGCTGCGGCCACAAGGCAAGGCAGGCGTCAGGGGTGTGGGTGGCCTGGCTGTGGGGGCCCTGAGGTAAGCCGGTGCTGGGCACATGGGGCACCTCCAACTCCCCAACTCACGGCGGCAGCACTGGCACACAGCGAGCAGCAAGCAAGCAGAAGTGGGCCTCCTGTACATGGAAAAAAAATAAGACACCCTCCAAAAATAAGCCCTAGTGCTTATTTCAGAGCCCAAAAGAAAATAAGACTTGGTCTTATTTTTGAGGAAACACGGATAGGAAAAATAGTGATTTCCAGAAGTGCTACAAAACATTTGCAACATAAACTGACCATAAGTGTGAAAAATGGTCATAAGTCACTTCTTTCAGTGGTATTGCAATTTTGAACGGTTACTAAATGAACTGTTGTTAAGTCAAGGACTACTTGTACATATTGCATGGTTTCATTCTTGTCCCCCTTTGCTTCACTTCCAAAGTTTATTCCCTTAAAAGGACATCTTATTGATGTCTTTATTCTCAAGTTTTCAAATGCAGGATTTAATATTATTTAATATTTAATAATAATAATTAAATCATGCAGGACTGAGTATTTCCAAGTTAAGCAGCCACTGCTTAGACAAAAGCTATTATAACACCCAGGGCTGCTGGATTGACTGATAATTTCATTTGCTACATTTATCTTACTATCCCATTTGCTCCTTCTTGCTGTTCCAGTTCGTATCCTGAAAAAATGTTGACCTCTGTTTTTTTAAATGGTTACAACAAAACACAATTATTACTCTTGTCCCACATTCAAAAGCGAAAGCCATTTAGGGGAACACAGTCACATCCCTGAAAGTATCAGAAACGATGGTATAGGAATGCAGAACACAATTTGTGTTTTAAAAGTTACGTAAGATTTTTTTAAAAATACACATGAATGCAGCTACATGGAACAGGTTCTTATAAGCATCCTTGCCTTCAACTGCCTGAATGTTCTAATAAGTCTTCTGGCCTTTTGGGAGTTTGAAAACCTGGATCCGCAACTCACATGGGGCTCGCAGAAAAACACATAACCAACAGAAGGGAATATTTGTAACTCATGGTTGAGCTATGGGGTCTTTGATGCTCTGCGCTTAGTGATTATCCTGCAAATGTTTCATTACCAAACTAGGTAACATCATCAGTGCTAGAAGGGAGTGGGATTTGTGGAGAGGTGGAAAAGGACTGTGAGGTCCTTGGTCTACTCTAATCTTGTTTTCTTGCAGACGTTTCATTACCAAATTAGTTAATATCATCAGTGCTAGCATGCAACCTTTGGGTTGGTTAATGCCTTGAAGGCTCCTCCTTCTGGTTTTTTTAAACTTTTATTATTCTAACCTTAACAACCTCCTTTTACTTTTAATATTTTTATATGGTTTTTATGTTTTTAATAGTATACCGCCCAAGGTTACTCTTCGATCTATCAATAAAATAAAAATAACTAACAAAATCAAGCAGAGTTGGTATGTAAACCAACAAGCATGGGTCTCCCAACATGAAAAGCCTAAATTTGATTTACGTGTCAACTTGCTTTTATGTTGTTTTTATGGTTTTAAATTGGTTGTTTTACTGTTTTTTATGTATTTTAAGTCTTATTATGTATGCTGCCCAAAATCACTATGTGAGATAGGCAACTACACAACTGTGATTAAATTTATTTATTTATTTATTTATTGGTTCGATTTATATGTCGCCCTTCTCCGGAGACTCAACATCAACATCCCATTTCAACCACTGACTAATAGATAAACTGGTAATTTATTCACTATGTCTCAGGTTTTTTTTCAAATGTGTGGCTTAGCATTTTGTGTGAGCAAAGTAGGCATTACACAGGGCAGAAATAACACTGCAAATGCTGAACCCAAAACAAGGCATTTTGACAATTTCTGGTAGAATTGTCTTCCAGAAAATCCTATGCATGCTTACTAATAACCCTCAACTTACAATCATTTGTTTAGTGACCAATCAAACTTACAACGGCACTGAAAAAATGACTTATGACCAGTCCTTCCAGGTACAACCGTTGCCCCATCTCCATCTCCTGTGATCAAAATGTGGCAGCCAACATATATTTAAGATGGCTGCTGTGTCCCAGGATTACATCAGGGATCCCCAACCCCTTGTCCGTGGCCCAGTGCCAGGCTGCAGCCCGTTCGGAATCAGGCATGGAAGTGGCGAGTCAGCACTTGTGTGTGCAACACTATATTTGTGAAAGTGATACGCCCGCACACATAAATCCATCCCCTCTCCCTGCTGCCTCCGGCACTCCACCAAGCTGGAAAGATTGGAAACTGCTGGTTTACATTATTGTTATTTCCAAGCGGCTTCTGACAAGCAAGCTCCAGGGGGAAAGCCGGATTCACTTAATGACTGTGATTCACTTATCAACCATGACAAGAAAAATTGGAAACTGGGGCATAACTCATTTTACAACACCTCAGCAACGGAAATTCTGCTCGCAATTGTGCTAATTGTTAAGGCCTACCTTTGAATTTCCCAGTTGATCTTATTTTCAAATAAGAACCTGCTCCCAAGTAGAGGCATAAGCCTTGCAGAACTCAATAGAACATATATATTTCTGATTGTAAATATTATTATTATTATTATTATTATTATTATTATTATTACTATTATTATTATTAGTTCAATTTATATGCCGCCCTTCTCTAGAGACTCAGGGCGGCTTACAATGCGTTAAGCAACAGCCTTCATACTTTTGTATATACCTGCTTAGTAGGGCTTTTTGGCCCCCCCAAGCGGTGTTCTTTTTTATACGAAGTCAACTTATTGCCCCCACAAACCGGGTCCTCATTTTACCTACCTTGAAAGGATGGAAGGCTGAGTCAACCTTGAGCCTGGTGAGAATTGAACAAGCAGTAATTGCAGGCAGCTGGCAGCTAAGTGCTACTTTAACAGCAGCAGTTTAATCTGCTGCGCCACCAAGGCTCCTATGCAATTAAATTCTGCTATCTTTCTGCCGCTTTTTGCAATCTCAGATTGCAAAATGCTGAACCTTCTGGAAATTGCTTCATGCACAACACAGAAGGTGAACACAATCTTGAAATAAAGGTAAAGGTAAAGGTTTCCCTCGCACATACGTGCTAGTCGTTCCCAACTCTAGGGTGCAGTGCTCATCTCCGTTTCAAAGCCGAAGAGCCAGCACTGTCCAAAGACGTCTCCGTGGTCATGTGGCCGACATGACTAAACGCCAGAAGTGCATGGAACGTTGTTACCTTCCAACCAGAGATGGTCCTTATTTTTCTACTTGCATTTTTTTTTACGTGATTTCGAACTGCTAGGTTGGCAGAAGCTGGGACAAGTAATGGGAGCTCACCCCATTATGCGGCACTAGGGATTCGAACCGCTGAACTGCCAACTTTTCGATCAACCACCGCGTCCCTAATCTTGAAATAGGCAGGGGTAAATACAGGCATATGGGATCCAGATCCCAGGAGATAAATTCAGGAAATTGGGGAATCTGATAGTGACACTGTTGTCACAACAGTGACAACCATAAAAAAAAGAAGAGAAAATCATTTTTACAATCCTTTCTTCACTGTATCTAGTCCCAGCTTGGATTGTCAAATTGATGCTCCCATGGCTGTTTTTTCCAGGGTGGTGGTGGTGGTGGGGCTTCTAAGCCACCTCAAACTATGATATGGGCAATACAAGTAGTCCTCGATTTACAACCACAATTGAGCCCAGAATTTATGTTGCTAAGAGAGAAATTTGTTAAATCACTTTTCCCCCATTTTAAGACTTTTCTTTGCTACCTCTGTTAACTGAATCGCTGCAATTGTTAAATTAATAACACTGCTGTTAACTGAATCTGGCTTCCCCAGGGACTTTGCTCGTCAGAAGGTCGCAAAAGATGTTGCCATAACCCAGGGACACTGCAACCGCCGTAAACATGAACCAGCTGTCAAAGCAAGCATCCAAATGTAAACCACCTGACCGTGGGGGTGCCGCAACGGTCCTAAGTGTGAAAAACAGTCATCAGTCTCTTTTTTCAGTGCCATGGTCAGTTTGAACGGTCACTAAGCGAACTGTTGTAAATCGAGGACTACCTGTAGGCAAATTTGATAAATTAATGAAAATAAAGCGCCTGTGAATTTTAAATTTAAGGAGCTTGGCTGTATCTACTCTCACCTTCCATTGTCAAATTGAGGCCTCCGCTGATTTTTTTTTTTTTTGGGTGGGGAACGAAACCTTCAAAGCCTCCCCAAACAGCTATGACCATAAATATTTATATTTATTAAATATTTTTATATATATATATATATATATATATATATATATATGTATATCAAGCACCTGTGAATTTTAAATTTAAGTACTTTCTCTTCTCTCAGCTTATAAATCAGCCATCCTTCCGCCACTTTGTGGAGGGAGGGAGGTTGGGTAGTAGAGTCCCCCTCCTCCCATCCTGCATGGGCTTTGTAGTCCTTCCCGCCGGACAAGCCCCGCTTGGTCAAAGAATCCAAGCCAGAAAAATCCCACCAAAAAGATACTTTTTTTTTTTCTTTTTAAGGGAAGCAGCGGCTCTTCCAAGCTCGGGTGCCGCTGTCCCGTCCTTTTCACCACAGGGGAGCCCGCCAGACGCCTCCGCGCGCACTCCCATCATCCCCAGCCGCGCCGCCGCAGGGTTGTTGTAGGACGGGGGGGCAGGCGCCTCCCATCCCCAGCCGTCCGGGGTCCCAAGACTCCAACGCCCATCCGCCACTGCCAGCGCGGGAAGAGGCGAGCGGCGGGGTCCCAAACAGCCTCTGAGGCGGCTCGCGTGAGGGGACGGTGGGGGGGGCGGAATTAAGGGGAGCGAGCGGGCCGACCGCGCGCACGCGCACTCGCGCTCTGCTAAGGCCAAAATAGGGGGGGAGGGAGGGAGGGAGGCGCGCCCTCCTCTGTGAGGCCAGGGAGGGGGAGGGGCTGAGGCGCCAGCGAGCGCGCGGGGCGGGGGGGGGCGAGTGGGGGAGACGGCCGAGCGCGGCGCTCCGTCGTCGTCGTCGTCGTCGCCGCCGTCGGCCCGTCGTTGCCGTAACGTCCTGACGCTCCGCAGGGATCCGCTGACAGGCCGGCCGGCCGGCCGTCTGGCGTCACCCGGGGACGGTTTCGGGAGCCCTCTAGCCCCGCTTACCTCAGCCGCGGCGGCCCGAGCTCAGGTTCCAGCGCCGGCGGGGAAGGAAGGAAGGAAAGAGGGAGGCGAGGGAAGGAAGAAGAAGCCGCAGCGGCCGCCTCAGCACCGCCTGTATGTATGTGTGTATGTGTGTGTGTGTGAGGGAAGCTGCGGTGCGCGCGGCCTCTGCTCGCTGCTGCGCAGGCGCACTGCGCCCCTGCTGCCTTCTCCCTGCTGAGGCGCCGGGGCTGAGGCGAAGGAAGGAGGGAGGGAGGGAGGTGTGGGGGGGGGGGGGGCAGGGCTCCCACCCGCCACCGGGGCTTTTATTGGGGGAGAGCTGCCGGTCGCCTCCCCTCAGAACCACCACCGACGCTGCACGGCGCATGCGCGGGGCGCTGAGAGGCTTCACGCCCCCCCCTTCTCATCGCCGCGCGAGTCCCCTGAGGGAAAGTAGCCGCAGCCCTCCCCCCCAACGTCTGCGGACTCTAACTCCCATCATCCCCATCATCCGGCGGGCTAGGCCGGCTTATACCTAAAAAAAAAAAAAAAAGCCCAAAGGGCCTCTATACAATGGGCTTAGGGGGTTGGTTGGGAACGTGGAGAGGAGACCACGAGGAGATGACAGGGATGTGAACTTCTCTTGAGGAGTGGAGGGGGTGGGTGGGGAGAACATTCTGGTAGGAGGCGTAAGATTTCCATGAAAGTGACATGAATATATATATGATAGGCAGTCCTCGACTTAAGACCACAACTGAGCCCAACATTTCTGTTGTTAAAGTGAGACATTGGTTAAGCGAGTCTTACTCAGTTTTACAACCTGTCTTGAATCACTGCAGTTGATAAGCTACCCGCTTGTTAAGTGAAGCGGGCTTCCCCGTTGATTTTCCTCGTCAGAAGGTCGCAAAAGTGGGGGGGGAAATCACATGACCCCGGGACACTGCAACCGTCATAAATATGAACCAGTGGCCAAGCATCTGAATTTTGCTCACATGATCGTGAGGATGCAGCAACGGTCATAAGTGTGGAAAGTGATCATAAGTCACTTTTTTCGGTGCCGTTGTAATTTTGAATGGTCACTAAATGAACTGTTGTAAGTTGAGGGCTACCTGTACCTGTTTTTGTCAAGTCAAAATCCAACTCTCTGTTACTAGAAATCCATCCTTGGTTTAATGCAGGTTATACTCATATAGAGGCTTTATTGAGATGAATGACAGTAGGGAGGTGGGACTCCACCCTCCATATGCCTTGCCTGAGAGAAAATAGCCTGGCTGAGTGGAAGGTGTGTCCCGCGATGGGGCCTTCCTCCCCAATTTCTTTGGGGTTGGACTCCAGATCCCATCATCCCCGGCCATGCTGGGTATACTAACTAATTATTGTTGCATTATTTTTTTAAAAAAACCAAATATAGTCTGGTCAGAAATGTAAGAAATAGAAAAGGGGAAATTATTAATTTAATATTTAATTTTTTTTAAAGTTTTGATAAAACATAGATTTATATAATTCTAAAACCGGGCCACATTCATGGCAGAGATATTTCCAGCCAACAAGTCATTCTGTGTGCAAGTTGGTCCCAAGTGGCACAGAAAAAGATGAGTACTTGTTTGAATATCCTCATCTTAAGGGAGTCCCAAAGATGCTTCTTTTTCAAGAGGCAACTGGACTTTCTGGATTTTCTTAGAAGACGTTTCACTTCTCATCCAAGAATTTTCTTCAGCTCTGACTATTCCCCACCATCCAGTGAAAAGCTTCTTCGACGAGAAGCAAAACGTCTTCAAAGAAAAACCAGAAAGTCCAGTTGCCTCTTGAAAAAGCACCTTTGGGACAACCATGACCTGGATGACTGAGAATCTCCGTAGACATCCTCAGGGAGAAATGTTTTCACATGTAATCTTTAGTTCTAGCCAGACCAGTGTGCAGAGATGTTTGTTTAAATGTCTCCAGACTGTCCACTCCTCCTTATATCAGACAGCTCCTCAAGAGGTTTTGTCTGTTTTACTTGAGATTTCTATCTTTTTAATTGTTCTGTTTGAGGTATAATAGTAACCTACGCAAAGTTGGGCCTGATTAGGACTGGGAAAGGAAACCACCAGGAAATCCCAAAACTGGGAATTCCCCTGAGTAGAGGAAGGAAAACATTGTGGAAGGAGGCAGGGATAATCACAGCCTATGATTGTCAAGCAGGGGAGATAGATGCACCCATGTCATCGACCAGAGAGATCCAGCTGTTGGCTGTTATAAAACCAACCTGCGCTTAATGCAGATTATATTCATATGGGCCTGGTTGAGACGAGGGAGCTGGGGATTGACAACCCCCTAACCAGGGATCTCTAAACTTGGTATTTTTAAGACTTGTGGACTTCAACTCCCAGAATTTCCCAACCAGCATGTTGCCATGTTTGGAGACACCCCACTCTCCAAAAACAGCTTTGGATCAATTTTCCTCTCAGCCTACTGCACAGATTGATGATTGTGTAGAAACATGCAAAGAGGCAGCACTATGTACGTTGACCTGAAAGAAAGGCAAGATGTAAATCTCACAAATAAATATTGATGGACATATTTATTGCAGTCTTTTTTTTTGTACTGGGTGTCTCCATCTGTAGGAGGCTGTTATGAGATCCTTCCGTTTGTCAAAGAACAAATAAAGCAGAATCAAAGGAGGCTCAATTCTCTTTCCCAGAAACGCTGTCTCTCTTGATATTGCTGGTGCATCTGTTACGGAGGGGTCATGTCATTGCTGTATTGAGGGCCCGTGGGGGGGGGGTGATGTTGTGGGCTCACATCTGTGAATCTGGAGACATTCTGCTGGTTTAAAGTTTTGCATACATACCCTTGAAGCCATTTTACATTTGCTAATGTCCAGTTCTTCAGATCCCTCCAGGCTCTGTGGCTACCAAAGGGAGCAGAAATATGTATTTTTGTTCTCGGGTGCCAGTATGTGGCCTCCTCTCTGAAATGTTACCACTTTCCCTCTTTGTCAAAATAATTTGCTGGTGAGAAACTTGTACAGATCAAGGTTGTTCCTGATTTTTCCTCTTAGCACTACTTTTGTTTCACTACTTCTCTGCTACTCCTCTCCCCTCCTCCCCACCACTTCCTATATCATCCTGTCAAATGACTGTGTCTTCTTTTACCCTCTTCCCCTTTTATTTATTTATTATTATTATTTTCAGGGATCTCGTACAACACTAGGAAAAAACGGTATTGGAACATTAAGACTGGAAGGTGAAATAGGCTCGGTTTTGTTAAGCAGGGCCTTTGTAAAATATGAGAAGCCTGAATATTTGGAATAACTTTTTCCTTTGGAACCTCCATTGCTCTGAAATTCCACTCTTTTTCTGGGCTGCTTTGCAAGTGGTATGTTGACTTGCGTGCAGCTGATAATAGTGGAGAAAATTAAGTGGGTTGGCAGAAGCTATGACCCTCCTAGTTTGATCAATATCTTAAATTATGATTTTAAAAAGAACTGGGAAGGAATTTTGGGTCTGGTTACACCTGAGGAGGCAAATACTGGAAGAAGAGAGAATTGGAGGTGGTGACTGCCAGTTAGTGAGGGAGAAGAGCATGACTGTCCCTCTGGAAATGCCTATATCTGTAACAACAGCTAGAAGCAAACCACCATCTCGCTGTCTCCTGGTTTCTGAGGCAGCAGCTTATCGTGATCATTTTCTTCCAAGATAGTGTTCTCTGCCATTTCTTCAACCATTACCTGCTGGTAAGAATCAGGTCCAGTATAGCAGCTCCCCCCCCCCTCTTTTTTTTTTGGCTTTAATTTATATGCCGCCCTTCTCCGGAGACTCAGGGTGGCTTACAATGCGTTAAGCAATAGCCTTCATCCTTTTGTATATTTATACAAAGTCAGCTTATTGCCCCCACAATCTGGGTCCTCATTTCACCTACCTTTGACAGGATGGAAGGCTGAGTCAACCTTGAGCCTTGGAGAGATTCGAACTGGCAGTAATTGCAAGCAGCAGTTGTTAATAACAGTGCTTTAGTCCACTGTACTACAGGCCCCTTATTCTTTCATCACTGGAGGTTTTTAACAAGAGATTGGACAACCATTTGTCTGAAGTGCTGTAGGCAGGGTCCCCTGCCTGAGCATGGGGCTGGACTAGAAGGCCTCCAAGGTCCCTTCCACCTCTGTTATTCTATTCTATTATATTCTTGACTCTCGGCAGAGGTAAATGTTTAGCTGAGGTCAGTATCGCCAAAATAGTATTTAGACTTATATACCGCTTCACATTGTTTTCCAGCCCTCTCTAAGTGGTTTACAGAGTTAGCCTATTGCCCTCAACAATCTGGATGGATGGAAGGCTTAGTCGACCTTGAGCAGCCTTGACTGTTATTGCAGGTCTCTTTGAAAGACTGATCATGTAAAGTACAAAAGATTAATTTTTTTATCTTCTGCCTGCCCAGGCCATCTATTAATGAGCTCCCCATATGGTATCATTTTTATTTATTCTTACCAAGACATTTGCAAAAGCACCTAAGGGTTCCAGTCCCTAAATTTCTATACGAATGTGATGTTTTGTTTTGTTTTTTCATTACATAGATGGAACACACCCACGCTTTCTGCTGAGTTTTTCTCTTTTCAGTAAGTGGAAGCGTCCAGGATGAATCACGTCTCTCATATATGAGCCTGGTTGCTTTTCTGCTTTGTTCTTGCTTCCTAAAAATGACAGCTTGTGATCGGAGCTTATAATGTGGACTTTGCAGCATTGCCTAACATCTTACTTTATGCTTTTATTACCGATTTCCTTGGCAGTGGGCATGCTAAAAAGATAATAACCTGATGCTGTACTGTACTGATATTACAGTCTCAGTAAGCGTGGCCCACAATCAGAAATTCTAGGGATTTGATAGAAGAGAGTAATTGTAGCTTGGGGGTTGAACTGTGATCTGCTTAGTGCTCTCTGAGCTTGGTGGTTTTCTTTGCAGATGTTTCATTGCAGGTAGACCTCAACTTAAAACCATAATTGAGACTGGAATTTCTTCCATGAATTAGTATGGGCCTCCTCTTCCTCAGCCTCTCCCTCCTACCCTTGGATAGATGCACGTGCCTAACCTGTCTCCTCTGACCAAAACATCCCATCCTATTGTCCCAATGATGCTTTTCCAACTTTCTTGGTGGT